CCCAGACAGATAGGACAGGGTTTGGGGCACCTACCTTGCAAGCGACTGACCCCAGTAATCTCCCACCTCCATCCCCAAGCGGGGACTTAGGCCTAGGGGGTGGCCTGAACAATATTGGTACTGCAGGCCGGTGTCCTCGGGCCCCCACCCTGAACCACCAGTGGAGTGTGGTACTCCTGAGCACTGAGCAAGCAGCTGTGTGGTGTTTCTGGGGCATGGGGGTGGGGGGAGGGGGCAATCAGGACGTGGTTCGAGGGGCTTCCACGGGACCTTCCCAGCTATGGAGGAAAGCAGAAAGAAGCCGTGGGCGTGAGGTTGTGGGTTTGATTTTCCGGTACTCCACCCATGCAGAGGGCTCTCCAGGCATGTGCTCCCGGCAGCACACACTGGTGCCCCCACGCTACACCCCAGCCCTGCATATGCGAGCAGGTGCCACGGCCAAGTGTGCAATTGCCAGTGGTCACAGCAGCATGAAGACCACGCCCATGGGACGCTGCAGGGTCCAGAAAGTTCCCAGGAGGTGCGGTGTCACCCTTCCTCTTAGCAGAGAGAGGAGGGCAGCTAGACAGAGCTCCCTGGGCAGGTTCCTCTTGCCTCAAGGCCAGCCCAGTTTCCCACAGAGAGCAGAGCCCACGGGAGGCCCCCGGGAGGTGCTGGTGGGGTTCCCCTGCCCCCAGAAGAGAGCTGCTCTTGCCTTCCGCCTTCCGGCTCTGAGCTGAGCGAGCTATGGGGAGAGCTGGCCGGGGAGGCCAGGCTGACCTGAGAGCCCCGTGCCTCCTCGGGCTGGCAGCCACGCTGGGGGCAGGACGCGGCCGTACCCGCATCCCCCCTGTCGTCGGCGGGGCCCCATTGCTCAACCTGGTGCCGGCCCCCGGGATTGCGCAGAGCATGCCTTTCCCTCTGCGTCTGAGATTCTGGACCTGGACCAAGGCGTGTTGGGTCATTGCTCACTGCTTGCTGACCCCGAGGGGAGAAAGCGGAGAGGCTAGCTCGTCCAGGCGTCTTGCTTCACCTCTATAAACGGGGCTGAGAGATGGCCGGGAAAAGTGACATTCCCCAGACATAGCTGGGGTAGAAGTTCCCGGATGGGGTGGGGGTGGGGTATGGGGGGGCTCAGTGTCCCTCCTGGAGAGCCACCTCCCCAAAGGGATCAAACAGGGTCTTCCCCCTCTCCCCCCTCCCAGTCGCCCCTCAAGACTGCCAGTGTCCTGGGAGTGGATTTGCTGCAGGTTTCACCCCCTTGGGGAAACACTGGCCTCGAGGCTTTGCATTAGACCACGGAGCCGATGCTCCGTCTCCGTCTCCCAGACTGTCCTGATAAGGATCCCCGGGTTGTGTAGGAAACACACCAATTATTGGGGCCAGGAGCCCGCTGGTTAAACCGGTGGTCCCGAGCATTCCTATCTTCTGGCAGGTTTGGGAAAGTGGCCTGAAACGAGGCCCGACCCAGGCGGCCCTCCAAGAGCATGCCTTGAAAGCCCCGTTCTGTGAAAGAGGGAATGAGTCTCTTCTCCGTGGTTGAGTAAACGTGGTCACATCCCAGCGTGGTCTCCTCTGATGTCCCCCCCCACCCCCCGCCACGACCAGCACCATCACCAGCTGCTCTGTTCCCAGAGGGCCGGGTGGCATTTGAGCTGCAAAGCCCTCGAGCCTTTCCTTACTGTAAGAAGAAATGCAGGTTTCTGTTGCGTTTCTGGCTTCCATCCCCAGCCGTGCCACGGGGAACACTGTCAGCGCCTACACAGAGATCCCGTTCCTCGTGTCCCCCACATAGGCAGGCACCCATGGGCTGTGGAGTTCCAGTTCCCTGGCCGATGGATGCTCCGAGCTCATTGGGGCTCTGTTCCGGCCTCGTGCGTGTTGGCGTTCTCACATAGGGAGGTTGGAGCAGGTCTCTACAGGGGGACCCCCTCCCCCATTTCCCCTGTTGGGAGCCCATGAAAGTCCTTGAAGAGAAGGGGGCTGCTGTGGGGGTGGGAGGTGTCTCTAGACTGCCCAGGTCTTAGCTTCAGCCCTGCACCTTTTCAGCACTGGGCCGGTTACTCACGGTCCAAGAGGCCCAACAAGCAGAGGAAGAGGCAGAAGCAATCTGGAAAGGCTACTGCACTCCCACAGCTGGCCTTTCTGCAACCATGGGGTCCCACGGCCAGTTCCCCAAGGGCCCCACCACAGGCTCCTCGTGGGGGTTCGATGCCCTGTGAGGTCTTGGGGAATCCCGGAGCCAGGAAGCCCATGCGGCATGCAAGCCCCTGCAGGCCCCCTCGGTGGGACTGGGGAGGACAGCTCCATTAGACCAGAGGGGTGAGGGGCTGGTGTTCGTCGACGGAGAGCAGGGGTTGTTCCTGGCGGTGCTCTGGGGTGGAATCTGGCCTCCTGCGTGCAAAGCCTATGCTGCTTTCTCTCCAGCCCAAAGTGAGACTTTTTAAAAAGCCAGACTCCAGGCCCATAGCTGGAGAAACCCATCCTCCCCTCTTCGTGTGTGTGTGTGTGTGTGTGTGTGTATGTGTGTGTGTGTGGGGGGGGTTGTTTATCTCCCAGTCAGTGCTCAGGAGGTGGTGTGGGGGAGGGAGGGTTCATCGCAATTCTCCACCAACCTGGCTGGTGGGTCAGTGCGAGGGCCCCGAGGTGCCCGGGATACCCAGGCCATCATGTTGGTGCTCCTGGTTGATACCCAGGGGACCACGTGGTACCTGGCATCTGCCCTAACGCCTGTCCTATCTCCCAGCCCTTGTTCCCCTTCTTTGGATAAAGACCAGCGGCACCCCTCCACTCACACGCCCGCCCCAGGGTCCGGCCAGTGAGCTGCCCTGAGACTGGCCGTGCTGCCCAGTGCTTGTCACGGGGCCGGTGACTTTGCATGGCCACCCCCTTCCACTCTCCCAGCCGACTGGGCTGGTTAAAGTTTGACTCCCTCCACCTCGGACACGATTCTGCAAAATGTCAGGCGGCTCCCAGTGTTTGCCAAGTCTCCGGTTGCTCAGAGCTCGACTTCCCTGCCTGCCACCAGCCCTCCCTTTGAAGTCGGAAAGCAAATTGATTAAATGTACATTTTAGGATCCTTCTGATTTTGCGGCTTAACCCACCCTGAATCAGAATGCTCTCTTGTTTTGCCTTTTTTTTTTCCCTCCCCCTTCTTCTTTCTAAACGGAAAGATTTTCAACTGTCAGTGGGTCTCACTGGAGCTGTTTGTCAGCGCGAGACCAGAGGCTTCCTCCGGTTTTGGGATTTGTGCATTCGGCATGCAGCGGAAGTCAGCAGGGCTGCCCGCCCGGGCCAGTGACAGCCCCAGCTCAGATCTCATTAGAATTAGAGAGCACATAGGGCCCGCTGGAGTCCAGGGCCAGCCCAGATTGGGTTTCTCTCCTGCAAGCCTCTAGTCCCCTCTGCCCGTCCCTGAGCACTTGAGAGAAGATCTATAAGGTCGACTTCTAGACGGGGAAGTGGCAAGCCCTGTTTGCCCCCTGCTTGCTCCTCCTCCTCCTCCTCCCCCTCCTCCCCCTCCTCCCCCTCCTCCTCCTCGCAGAAGAAAAGGGAGTGAAAATGTGTGTCTGGGCAGTTCTTCTGGGGCGGTCTGCATGGGTACGGGGCGCTTGCCCCACAGGACGAGCTCATCCCTACCCCCAGTGCCCCCCACCCACCTTAGCCCAGACCGGCCGGCCTCGCTGCAGCAGGCATGCCCAGAGGGCAGGTGCCCCCCATGGGTGTCTCCCTGCCGCCGCAGCCCCTGCTGCTGCTCCACTGGATCTTGTCTGGGGTGAACCGCCATCACCCCCACCCCCGCCTGCTGCGTGCCACAGGGCTGCTGCCACCAGCTGTGCCGGCCTGGCAGACAAAGGGGGCTTTTCCGCCCGGTGGATGCCTCACATTCCAGGACCTGGGGGGACGGAGGCTCCTGGGGTTTCTAATCAAACCCACCATTTAAATAACAATGCATGTCACCCAGTGGGGGTGCGGGGAACAGCCAGGTGGCTCAGCTGGGAGGCTGAGGATCAGAGGGATGGACAGACAGAGAACCGGACAAAGCCCAGGAGTAAGAGAGTGTGTGTGTGTGTGTGTGTGTATGTGAGTGTGTGTCTATGTCTGTGTCTTTGTGTGTGTCTCCGTGTCTGTGTGTGTCTGGGGGGACACAGCGGTATGAACTTCCTGCCCCTCTTCCCCTTGGACGAGCATGTTTGCAGGGTCTGGGGGGGAATCTCCCCTTGCCCTGACCCTCTTCCAGGTGTTTTACTCTGTTTCTGGAACTTTCCTCTGGGCAGAGGGCAGGGCTGTTTCCTAGAGCAAAACGAGTGAGTGGGCCATGGAGGGCCCCTAAGGCAGAGGCTCTTAGTCAGAGGGTCTTGGTGGAACCCCTACCTGCTCTGGGCCTCAGTTTCCCCCTCTCTTCCTAAGTTGTGCCTTTCCAGGCTCATTCTGCCGCACCCAGGGCCTCACCGTCCACTCCTGAGCTGCTTTTGCGTTTGCGCAGGGCCCTCTGGGGTCCCAGGCATGTGGCAGTGTGTCCATCTCCCCCCAGTGTTGCCCGACTGCCCTCCTGGGTCGTGGTTAGTTCCAGGGTTCACGTGTTTCCCAAGCCCCCAGCTGCCCATCACCTCCCCGCCGATGCCCTCCAGTTCCTGTCTCTGTGCCTCTCTGCCCCTCACGCACCTGGTCCCACTCCACCAGGTGTACAGCAACCAAACTGCCTGCAGTGACACAGGCCACCGAGTGCCACTTGTCACCCCTGAGGCGGAAGGGGCAGAATTCACTGGTGAGGGCCGGAGAGATGGCGCAGCGGGTTGGGGCATTTGTCGTTCACTTGGCTGGGCCGGGGTTCAGTCCCCGGCATCCCGTCTGGCCCCCTGAGTGCAGAGCCGGGAATAGGCCCCAAGCCCCCACCGGGTTTGGGTCCCAGAACCCAACAGACAATTCACAGCTGAGTGTCAGCACAGGCCCCTCTGGTGTGTAGGGACAGAGCCAGGCCTCCATAGGTGGACTCACCCCTGCCGTGTCCCTCCCTGCAGGTGATCATCGCAGATGACTATTCGGACCCCTTCGATGCCAAGAATGACCTCAAGAGCAAAGCGGGCAAGGGGGAGAGCGCAGGCTACATGGAGCCGTACGAGGCGCAGAGGATCATGACAGGTAAGCGGAGAGGCCGGCTCGGGCCGGACCCAGCCCCGGAGAGCCCGGACGAGGGTGTCCCACCAGCGGCTGCCCCAGGGATGGGCTGGGGATTTCAGCTGGAGGTGAGGAGTGTCCGCACTCACCCACCCATCCTAGGTCACATGCTTCACCCGCAGCAGAAAGAAGGGGGCAGGGTAGAGATGCCAAGTCCAGTGAACCCTTATAAGGGCCAAGATGGGGAACCTGGAGGTGGGGTGGGGGAGACGATGTCAGGTGAGAGGTGGGGGTGGGGGGAGCATTCTCACCAAAGATACAGCACATCGGACAGAAAACTGAGCGCTTCCTAGCCGCCAGGGTACTGCGAAACCAGAGCAGGTGGGGTGCCTGCAGCCTAGAGAACCCTGGGCTCTGGCAGCAGATTTATGGGGAAAGCGGGAGCCTCCCTCACCCCCTCCTCCCACCTCTGCCCTGTTTCTCTTGTCTTTCACCATCCAACCCTTCCGCCCCGCCTTGAAGAGTGGGGCTGAGGGCCCTGTATCTCTGGCCCCTGCAGGATAAACTAACTCTCTGAGGAGGGCATGGGCTAACCACTGGCTCTCTGGGCAGGCTGGTCGACTGATCCAGGCACCACCAGCTCCAGGGGAAACCGCCTCCCCGGGTCCTCGTGGCCCTGAAGCCCAGAGAAGGCCAGCAGCTGTGTGCGCTCAGGCCCCCTCTGTCCCGTGGAAAGCGCCATGCAATGGCCGCGGCGGGCGGGGAGCCCAGGGAATCAGCCCTCCCTCGCCCTGCTCTCTGCTGCCTTGTCAGCGTGGTTGTGCTGCCCCTGTGTCGTGTCGTGCACAGCGTGAGGATGCTGTGTAAGTGCGTGAGATCCAAAGGCCCCCCACAGTGCGCCTGCAGAGCACGTTATCTGACACCCGTCGGCTTTTATTTACCCTTGCGTGTGGACTTTGGAGATCTCCTCTCCAATCCGCTTGTGGAGAGACTCTTGGGTGTTGTGCGCCCCACTCCTCACGCCGCGTGTTCACTCCTGGGAGAGATGTGTTTGGCTACTGGGAGCTTGTACCTCTGACGCCCTTTTCCTATTTCTCCCCTATCTGCACCCTCCCACCCCTACACACACACACACACACACACACACACACACACACACACACACACACACACACACCCCGACCCTACCCCTGTCCCCTGCTGAGGACCCTTGGTTGTTCTTAGGAGTTTGATCTGGTTTTGTTTTGAAGACTTCCCCCTGTAAGGGAGAGCCGATGGTATTTGTCTTTTCTGTCTAACTTCACTTACACAAAGATCTTGCAGTTCATCCGTGTTATCAAAGACAGTCCTTTTTTTGCTTTTTGGGTCACATCTGGCAACGCACAGGGGTTACTCCTGGCTCATGCATTCAGAAATTACTCCTTGCGGTACTCGGGGGACCATATGGGATACTGGGAATCGAACCCAGGTCGGTTACGTGCAAGGTAAACGCCCTATCCGCTGTACTATTGCTTCAGCCACAAGACGGTTCTTTTTTATGGCCCAGTAAAAAAAGCGTGTGTGTATGTGTGTGTGTATACACATCTGTTTCTTCATTCATTTCATTCTCAGACATGCTCTTGCTTCTACTTGGTCTTAATTATATTTGTCAGGGTGGGGGATCTGGTGGTTGGAAACGTATCTAGCAGTGCCCAGGGCTCATTTCTGGCAAGGCTCAGGGGACCATAGGAGTTTCCAGGGGTCAAATCCAGGTTGGCCCTATGCAAAGCCAAGTGCCTCGTCTGGTGCCCTGTCTCTCCCACCCCTCGCTTCCCCTTGCATTAGAAGGAGAGAGAAGGAAGCGGCCTCCATGAGCCGACCCTGTGCCAGCTCTTAGCTCCGAGCTGGCTGCCCAGACCCCGTTGGACAGTTTGCGAAGGGTCAGTGCAAGTCTGGACCCTGCTTCTAGGACCCTCTGCAGCCTCCTGCACTCACGACCTGCAGTTTCTCTGGCATTGAGTGGCTTCCCACATACCTGGCCACTTAGTGAGGGGCTGAGGCAGGAAGCCATGGGTCAGAGTGACGGAGGTCTGCTTTGGGGCCCTCATACTCGCTGCCACCTTCCTGTTTTCTGGCAGAGCGGCTGCTATGGGCAGCAGGAGGCAGAGGGAGCGAGCATGAGTTCGTGGCCAGGGCCTCCACGGAGGGGGCAGCCTGCTGGCCTCCAGGCTTAGGAATACGGCCAGGTGCTGGAGTCCTCACCTCAGGACAGTATGACGCCCTCCGCCCTGCCTCCACTGCCACATGCCTCACCTCCAGCTGAGTGTCATCATCTCCTTATGTGCCATCACCTCCCCCTGTGCACATCACCTCCACCTTGTGCCACCATCACCTCCACCTGTGTGCATCACAGCTCCATTCAGTGTCATCAACTCCACCCTGTGTCAACTCCACCCTGTGCTGTCACCTCCACCCTGTGTACATCACCTCCATCCCGTGTCATCACCTACACATGTATACTATTACCTCCACCCTGTATCATTACCTCCACCCTGTGCCATCACCTCCACCTGTGCACATCCCTTCCACCCCTGGACAGTCCCTGGAGCTGTCCTAAGCCAGGGGCCCGGCTTCTCCACGCAGCTCAGGCTGGTGAGCTGAAGGCATGTGGGTTATAGCAGTGGCACTGAAAATGGGGCTTAGCCTTTCGGTGCAAATTGGTTGGGTGACATGGTAGCTGTGCACAGGCCTTCCCTTAAACCCTGGCCATCCCATCGCAGATCTGTCCCAGGTGTCCTCTTGGCTGTGGGGACCCAGGGATCAGACAAGACTTCATTCCTCTGAGGGTCACCATCTTAAACCAACTGATGTGACCGGAAGCTGTCTTGCGAGGTAGGTAGTGAGCACCCTGTTCTTGGAGGCATCCTGCAAGAGGACATGGCGTCTGTGAAAGTTCAGAGGGGCAGTTGGCTCGAGTCCTGGGCACACGGCAGTCGGGGGCCGCCCCAGGCCAGCTGTGGGCCTCACCTGGATCCTCTCTCTCGTCACAGTCTGATCCGGGCATTTTCTGTGCCCTCCGTTACCTCCTGTGTCGAGTGAAGAGAGGAAGAGCAAACGTTTCTGGGGGAGGCTCAGCAGTCAGGGCTGTGTGTGGGAGTCCCAGAGTCGGTCCCCTGAGCGCCTCCCCCGCCCCCTTGACCCGGAACGGCCCCAAAACTGAGCACGTAAAAAGTAAGTTTGTGGGCTGGAGCGATAGCACAGCGGGTAGGGCGTTTGCCTTGCACGCGGCCGACCCGGATTCGATTCCCAGCATCCCATTCGGTCTCCTGAGCACCGCCAGGGGTAATTCCTGAGCGCAGAGCCAGGAATAACCCCTGTGCATTGCCGGGTGTGACCCAAAAAGCAAAAAAAAAAAAAAAAAAGAAAGTAAGTTTGTCTGGGGCCCGTTGCTGCCCACCCCTGGGCCTTTGGCACGTCCCTGGCACATCTCCACTGAGCTGGCAGAACCGGCCGCCTTCCACGGCCTGGCGTCACAGCACCCCTTCTGCCTAACCCCATCCCTGACTGAGGCTGATGTGGGGAGGGCACTGGGCTCTGAGTCAGGCCCAGGGGTGCCTGCGGGGGTCTTGACCCTTGAAGTCTGCGGCATTGCGGCTTCACTTATGTGTGGGGCACGAGGCTCTTGGGAATTTGGCCCTTCACATGGGACACCTGCTGCCCAATTCTCTGGGGGTCCCCACCTGGACACCAGGAGCCTGGGGGATCCTCGAGTCCCCAGTGGTGCCCTTGGTCAGGCTGACCTGGCCCCTTTTGCTGTGCCCTGGCCGGTTGTGCTGGACCACTGGGCTGGGTCCCGGACAGACACCCCCACTGCCTCTGGCCGCCCATGACACCCACTGTCCATGCCAGGTGTGGTCAGGAGTGGGAGCGCCGAGGGCAAATCTCCCTCTCTTGGAGTTCAGAGACCAGGGCTGGCCATCCCAGAGCGGGGTGGGAGGTGGGCGAGAGGCTGCTTCGGATGGGGGTGCGGGCTGGCTACGGACACAGCCCAAAAGGCTGGAGCACGTGAGAGGCCCCATGCTGGTGCTGTGAGCTCCCACCTGAAGCTCCAGGTGGGCCTGGGGGCGCCCAGCTCTGCTGGACCCGAGCAGCCCTTCACCCCCGGCCGAGCACTACACCATCCATCTGCCCAGCTCACAGAGTGGGAGTAGCCCTCAACCGTGCTTGGTGACACCATTCATTCCCCCCCCCCCCCCCATAAAAGACTGAGTGGCCCTGGACGCCCTAGTCAGCCTAAAGACACAGGTTTCCTCCAGGGGCACCTTGCCAGGGGGTCCCTCACTCCGCTTGCTCACCTGGGCACTCCCAGCACACCCCCTGATTTCACACCTGCCCCCATGGGAGGGCCGGGGCCGTGTGCTTCTCCCCCCCTCCCAATTTCACAGACAAGAACATTGAGCCTCCGGAAAGGTCACATGGCTGAGCCCCGACAGTCACACCCACCGGAGCCGTCCACCCCTCTCCCCAGTCCCCCTCTCCCCCGGGGTGGCCACAGGGGCTCCAGGAATCTGAACTCTGCGCCAGGCGACTGAGGCGCTTGTTCTGTGTGACACTGGCACCCTCCCCCGTGGCCCCGCCCGCCTTCCCTAGAAAGCCATCCCCAGTGCCATCGCCAGCGGAATCAGTAATGGAGAGTGTTTTTCAGATACATCTTAATATGTGAGCAATTACGGAGTCCTTAGCGGGTTTTTATTATTGAATCGACTTTAGAGCATAATGAGAGGAAATGGGAAGAAGGGCCTTTCCCACAGCCCTGGCTGCCTGGAGGGCCCCTTTTCCCCAGCCCTGCCCCTCCCGGCCCTGCACACTCCAGGGCCCCCAACCCTGCCCCTCCCGGCCCTGCACACTCCAGGGGAGGCAGGCGCGGGCCCTGAAGGCTGGAGAGCGTTGTCCCTCTTTTATCCCACCTCCCTGCAGCTTTGTCCTTCCTGAGAGAATGGGGGCCCCGAGTTCCTTCCTGAGAGAATGGGGGCCCCGGTGTCCTG